ACTCAGATCCAATCGTTTCAATCTGCAAAAGGAGTTAACCCCTCCCACCTGTTAACGGAGTCAATGGAGCAAATCCAGACCTTAGAATGAAATTAAATGCATACTATGGTGTGGTACGACCAGGCTGCATTTTTTTTCCAATCGCTTTTTTTTTTTTTAGAGAGCACATTGTCATTCTACGGTTTAAGTCCTGATCCATATCACACTATCAATGCATTTTAAAATAACTTCATTGTTCTACGGTTTTATAAATTAGCATAACACGTGTCAAATGACTAAATTACAAGTTGTATTTAACGTGAGCCCAAACGATAGTCGTGTTTATTTTTTTTAGATGTCCAGAAAAGTTGGCAGCGACAATTTTTGGATTTGAGAATAGCACGAGAGCAGCTATTTCAGGTGTTGGAATAAACACTTTCTCTCACTTCAAACTTTTTCCTAATTGCGTTCTTAAGTTGCTAGTTTCTGAGCCGCGGCTGTTTGTCTGCCAAAAGCTGCACTTGATCACAGTTCGACGTGGGAGCAGATACACTATTTTATATGACTGTTTCCGACGAGCTTGAAATTGTGGCAATGCGCGGTGACCTTGCGGTGTCTTGTTTTGGCAACTCCTCGCCAATTACAGAGCTAATAAAGCAGTTTTATGGAGTGCCGGAGTAGAGTTAGCGGTTGGGAACAAATGCAGATTATTTACAAAGACAAACTACTAAATTTCTTGGACAAAATGAAAGAAGGTGCTTGTGTAGTTTTGCATCTGGAAAACAAGAATGATCGGTTATGACTTGTTTCATGTTATTCACTCTCGACGTGTGAAGGAGAGGTTCCGCGGGTCTTTCCTTCCTGCTGCTGTCAGACTGTACAACAAACAATGAGGACTGATGAACACTGCTGACCCTTGATCTCACGTGTCATGTGTCGGTGCAATATCCTCAACTAATATCAGAATGTGCAATAACCACATGTCACTGTCACTTTACTGAGTCCCTGTGTCTCAGAGCCTCATGCTAATGCTAATGTACAGATGCTAACATACTGCTGCTAATGTATAGATGCTAACATATAACTACACTTTGCTTGCACTAGAATACACAGTACTTAAAGCTGCATTACCTCACTTTATTCTTGTATTCATTACAAAAATTCAATCCATATCCATGTAGTGCATTGGGATAAACGTCCTTTTGAAGAATAAGCGCAGATTTGTGCTGGCGTGTCATTTTATTTTAGGTCAAGTTTTTGTGCAACAAGGAAGAGAATGTGTTTCAGGACCAGATTGTGACCAATCACAGCGGACCACTGGCCCCCACTTTCTTGAGAAAAGCCACAGGTCTGAGGTTAGCACAGACAGCTGAGGTTAACAAGCGGCGGAGGCTAACCTGAAACTTCCCGTCTCTTAGTTACCGGTTACTGCTTACTCAGAGCAACAGCCAAAAGAAAGTCTCGTCCTCTGCGCTTCCCGGTTCTATCATTCTATGGTCACGCCACGTTCAAATGTGTGCCCATATCGTGAGACGCGAGCTCCGTAAACAGCACATGTGCGGCTGAGTGGGAGGGGGGTAGTGGGAGGGGGGTAGTGGGGGGGCGACACCTCCATGAGTGCGGGGAGGGAAAGCAGAAAGAGTGAGGCCAACACTCACATTCGAGTGCAGCTTTAATACTTGCCTCTTATTTTGCCAAATGTAAAACTTTTAAACTTCTTTATTGTTATTATTTTCAAGATAGAGATTTTATACTTGTTAATGATGCTAGACTTAGAGATTTGGTTTTGTTAA